GAGGTATGGGTTTAAGCACTCGAAGTGTCGAGCTTAGAACTGAGAGTACCGATACCGGGTATGAGGATGAGGGTTGAGGATTTCGGCGTAGGGCTTTAGGGGTTTATGGTTCAGGGTTCAGGATCTCGTTTTGCGGTTTGAGGTTGGCAAGCGTGGTGACGCTGTCTAAGTCTTGGGATGTATTAATGCTTAAGGGTCTGGGTTTCAATTCGGATCTCCCATGCTCATCTTCAGATCAGAATCATACCACCAGATCTACTAAGAGCCCCTCTTAAACTGGCTTTTCCCTATTCCTTCATGTTCAAGTCAGAAGAAGACTGCGTAGCAAAAAGGGACGAGCGAGTACCGAGGCGTGCAGTTTGCAACTAGCCAACCTCAAATCGGTCTCGACATGACACAACGGGGTGCTTCGGTTGATGATATAAATCCTGCATTACCCATAATAAGGAATATATGGGAATTACGGTATATTCCTTTATTATGGGTCATGCAGGATTTATATCATCAACCGTTCAACAGCTTCTTCCGTGAACTTTCACGGCGCCTTGCCGAGATTTTATGGAGAAGGTTTGGGGTTTAGAGTCCTGGGGGCAATCCGAGCCCCTCTAAACGAATAAGATCAGGAGACTTGGTAAGCAGGATTGCAAGAACCTTAATTTTTGCTATACCATATGTATAGTTACCCTTTAAGCCCTGATCCTGTAGGTAGGTAAAGAGGGCCTTAATCACTAGGGGCTCGCTAGACTATAATTAGAACAAGGAACCCCCAAAAATAGTATTGGTAATTATTTAAGCCCCCCCCCCCCCCAGAGTAAATAGGGGGTCAGGGCCCTAAACCCTAAACCCTAGTTCCCCTTTACGCCCTCATAGGTAAGTAGGGAGTTAGGGATTGAAATGAACAGCTTGGCGAAATGAACAGCTTGGCAGATTCCCGCTGGCTCTTCAAACAACATCGGCCTGGAAGCCGAGACCTTCGCTTTTTTTCTGGGTTCTTGCTAAGGAATTTAGGGTTTAAGTAGGGTTTAGGGACCTTTAGCAAACTAGCTCAAGGAGTTTAGTACTTGGGGTGATTCCTATGATTCACATATGGGTGGTTGTCAAAATTATGGTTCCTTTTTGGGTCCCTATTATAGTACGGCACCTATTATTCAGGGTACCCAAAAAGGGACCATAATTTTGACAACCACCCATATGTTGCCATGCCAAGGAAACCCATTAGTCTTCGAACCCTAAGTTAGTATGGTAGCAAAGGAAAGCTTAAATTAAATCCCCTAACAAGAACCCAGTCTTTTAAGCCTTCAAACCTGCTGGGCTTCCACTGCCGGCCGCCATGGGAGGCAGGGCTCGGGTTTAGGATTTCAGGCCTCGAGGGGGCTACCATACTTAAAGGATCATGGGACTTAGTAACTAGGCTTATAAGTATGGTAACTATACTTATAACCCCAATTAAGGTACTTATAACCTTACTTACTAAGTCCCATGATCCTCCAAGTAGGGCCTGTCTTCGAATTCTTATGGGGTGGTTGAATCCGGGATTCTCCTCACGACTCAAAACTGAAACACACCCTAGGGCTGCGGGTTAGCAAGCTTTGGAATGGTGCTCATGCGCCCGGCAGTGGTGGAAGATCAGCTTCCGTCAACAGCCTCCTGGCACAACCTGGGCCAGTCGATTTCGTATATTGCGGAATCAGGTCCCTGTCTTCAGCAGCCACTTAAACCCAATGCGATCCCCGACCTAAACCCTAAGGAACAGTTTTCATAAATAGGGTCGATACTATAAATCCCGCATTACTGAATCCTAAACCCTAAACCCCAAGAGTTTTGGGGTCTATCTCACTGGCCCAACACCCAAGGGAATAAAAGTTGCGACTACCCTATAAGAATCCCCAAAAGTTGAAAAGTTGAGTTTACAGCCAATAAGTTATGTCCTTTTCTACTTGGAGGGTCGGGGGACTTAGTAAGTAGGTAGTAAGTAGACTTAAAGGGACCATAATTGGGGTTATGGTATTTATAAGTCCCTAAAATAACCAGTTACTAAGTCCCCCGACCCTCCAAGTACCTCTTCTTACTGTGGCCCGGCAGGTCCCTTTCTTTGTCCGACGCCTTGTGGCGAGCCGCAGACATGGAGGTCCAGGTTTGTCACCCGAACCCTTTGGGCTTAGGGCTTTTTTGTTTAAGAGTGTGGTGGGCCTTTCTCCGCTGCAGGTCGGCTTAGGGTTTAGGGCTTACGGTCCAAAACAACCTAAATAATCCGGAGCCCAAACCATCCCCAAAGCCCAAAAACTTGAGTAAACTAGAGGATGGACGATACTGAAAACACATCGACAACAAAACTGCTATGACCCGTAAATTGCATAAAGCCTACTTGAAACCCTTCCTGAACCAAGAACCCTAAATTTACCTAAACTCTCAACCGTGAGCCAGTTCCTTGTCCGTCCCACACTGCCTACCTTTGAGCTCCAATAAGCTGCTATTCTAAGCTACACCTTATATTGTAAATGGGTCATAGCCTACTATTTCGCAGAGTTCGGGGCTACAGTACAGGCACTGCTCCAAATCTAGACCTTGTGAAGCCCAAAACCTAAAACCTTATAATGCCTAAAGCATGAAATGCTGAACCTGTAGACCTTCATGATCTGTGAGACTACACGCTGCCGCAGAGGTCCAGAAAGCTGAGCTTGGCTAGTGGTCGATAGTTGTCAGTAGAAGGGTTCTTAGGGTTTAGGGCTTCTGCTAGGGGTACTATAAGCGTACCAAAAGGGTACTGTTAGGCTCACTTTCTCTACTCCCAACTCCCAAGCCTTTGTACTTAAAAGATCTCGTCGACATCATCGTCATCACAATCATAACCTTCATCATTAACCCTTGTAAGCCCTATCGTCATCGCTGACAATTATCAGGGAAGCAAGCATCTTACATAACCGCATACAATATATCCGAATTCGCAATGTGCGCACGACTAGCTCGGAAAGGCCATGGGCTGTCTGATTCGGCTTTAGGGTTTAGGGTTGATGGTGCACCTGGACCCTACAAAACCCCACGCGTTTAGCAGTACCTTTAGTATGACACCCTTACACAAGTCATAGGTAGGCTTTGGGATAAAGGATCAGGATTCAGGGTTTACGGTTCAAATTTCAGGGTTTTGATTTTAGGGTTTGAGGTTCAGGGCGTCACATGGAAAAAACTTTGCTTTGCTTATGTAGATTCTTACTATGATTTATTTACAGATGTCCTTGTATAGAATGCAGTCTTGGGATGCAGGAAGGTAGGGCTTTCGGACTCACATTATGCTTTAACAGTTTAAGCTTTGGGTTTGGGGTTTTGAGGTGCGGCGCTATGCCGTGACCGAAGCGTGCGTGCTTCGGTTTACTGACATTTCAGGGTTGTTTTAAGTACAATGACGCTCCTTTCTCCAAAGCGCGCCTACCCAGAAAAGGGCATACACTTCAGGGTTTAAGGGCCTCAGAGTTACGTATAAAGGGCTGCCGTTCAAGGGCGTGTAGCGAAACGATTTGCTAGTGCAAGCTGCAAGGGGCTGGGGCGTACCTCGACAATGCACTCCAGCACCTTCCCTTGGGTACTATAGGGGCCTTAATGACTAGAATAGGGTTTTTGGACCCATGATGCTATAAACATAATGAGGACCCCTCCAAACAAAAAAACATGGTATGTGCAATTATTTAAGCCCCTATCTTCTCTTGGGTAACCTGGTTTGCAGAGTAGCTTCCTAGGATCAGCGTAGATAAGGCCTGCAACCGGAAACCCTCAAGCTCCCGAACCCGGAAACCCTACACCCTCACCCAGAGGTACTCCCAAACATAGGACTTGAGGGCCCTTTTTAGGGTACCAAAACCCATAAAGACGGTACACTTTTCGTTTTATAGTGGGTAGTGTTATCCCAAAAAGTGTAAAGTGTATCCACTCAGCTACTAAGCCCTAATACAGGGGGCTGAAGAACTAGCAGGGTTTGCGGTACCTTACCGTAACGTTCTACACGAACTATAAGGGCAAATATCTATACTTGTTCCAGCCGCGCCTTCGTATTGGATGATCTTACCGGTGAAATCCCAAGTTACCAGCCACGGCAGTTCACAATTCTGCTTTACACCTCTCGACCAGCGTCATTGAAAAGTCTGCAAAATACGAAACATGTGAGCCACTGTCTGACCGTAGGTACAGTATATCTTCATTAACTTGCGGAGCCCACCACGCTAAGACGCGCCAAACCGAATGGCTCTTCAGGAGTGGTCCAGTGGAACTCATCCTCGTGCCCTCAACCTGAAGCCTTAAACCCTAAACCAACCAACGCCCTGTGAGAGCCTTGATAATACAGGTCCCTTCTTTCCTACTAGTTGGTTGTAACGAGGGAACCCAAAAAGAAAAGTGGCAAAGGGTACTACTGGGGAACCTTGGCACTATCCGCAGTGGCTCATGTGGTGAAACGGCGGGGAACATGGAAACCCGTGACAACCGGCTCGTGGGGGCTCTTCTGAAAGGCTCCGATTCGACCGACCTCTACATTGGACTTTCAGGTTTAATCTTGGTCTAGACCGATAGAAGTCCGATTCCGAGGTGATAGCTTAGGTTGGAGGTTTTTCAATGCTAGCGGGTCCTATGCCAGGAACCTTTGTAGAACACGTCTAGAACCCATACAAGACTCTTCTAGACCTTAAAGAACCCCATACTGAACTTAGAACCCTAGCAAAAATGACCCCTAAGAACCCAACAGAACTTTTCTAGAAGCCTCAGAACAGTCGCACCAAGCCTTGTGTCATATGTCCGCCGAAGGGGTCCATGTACCCAAACAGTATATATATATATATATATGTATGTATATGTATATTATATATATATATATATATACACCTGTGTGTATATATATATATATATATATATATGTGTGTCTATATATATATACTACGGTCCCGAAGTACTCCCTATTTAAGTAGTTTGGGGCCAAAGTAACGACGATTTAGATACATGGAGAATTAGGGTACGGCTCAAGGCAGATTCACATCCAGCTGGAAGAAGGACGTCGGCTTGATATGACGGAATTCCGACCTGGGCAACTTATCAAGGGGTTAGGGCAGAGAGAGGATTCAGGTTATGATTGTTGATGAATATTACTCTTAGTTTTACCATGACTAGTTTTGTTATTAGCACTCGTGGTTCTGTAAATATTGTTCTCATTGTTTACTGTTATTCACAATATCGTTATTAGGTATGTTCGATGGTTTTGCCATTGCCGCTATTACGGCTATCATTCGTGTGTGTTGATGCTTTTGCTTGTTCTGCAAGGGGGAGGGTTGGGGCTTAGGATTAGGGCTTCCTTTCTGGTGTTCATGTCGCGCTAGGCGCATCGCTTGGTCCTCTGCTGCGCTCCGTGCCTTCAAGCCTGAGCCCCGAAAGTAGCCGATATCTGTACTGAACTTTGAAACCTAGCGAAAACTATAATACGAGCTGTTTCTTTGGGATTATAATCACCAAAAAATAAAAATATTTCTAAGTACCCCAAAGAGTAGCTGGATCTCGGAACATGGAGTGGGCTATCCGGGGGTGCGAGGCCCGAAGCAGAGAACTGAGAGCCTCTCTTCGGTGGACGCCCCGAAACCTTGAAACCTAAACCCTCAAGTAAGGAAAACCCTTATAAGCTCTGAGGACTCACATTTCTCGGGTTTCGGGCCCCAAGACCATGATATTTGGGCAAATTCTGCGTTTAAGCGAGATTCAGGCTTAGGAAAGGGGACCTTTACTACAGTTGCCAAGAGCCTGAGTGCAGACAGAAAGCTGCTTGAAGACATCGTGCACGTTTGACGTGGACGTTCGCGTGACATCCTCCGTCTTCATGCCGCCTGGAGTATCATGCTTGGGTTCAGGGTTGAGAGTGTAGGGTTTAGGGTTGAGAATGTAGGGTTTTGGGTTTAGGGTTTAGGGTTGAGGTTTCGGGTTGAGGGTTTAGGGGTTTAGGGGTTTAGGGGTTTAGGCTTGAGGGTTGAGGGGTTTAGGGTTTATGTTTAGGGTTTAGGGGTTAGGGTTTAGGGGTTTAGCGGTTTAGGGTTTCGGGTTGAGTGTGTAGGGTTTAGGGGATTTACTTCAAGGTTCAGATTCCCTTGGCCGCATGTGAAGTGCCCTCTTTCGCCTTAGAGAGCGCGACACTTTCTGGTCTTCTTTCCCTAAGGGTCCAAGCAGTCCTTCTTTATGGTTTTGGGGTACCTAAACAGGCCCTAAGGGCCTATCATGAATCATAGGGAGTCCTTCTTTATGGTTCTTTCGTACCGAAAAAGGGCCCTAAGATCCTGCAATAGGGCGTACCTGGGCCCTTCTGGGTCGGGGTCTGATCCACATTCAAGGTTCGGGGTCTGATGAATGTGGCTGTATGTGATTCTAAACCCAGGCTTAGGGTTCTAAATCGAGTGCAACCCTGAGCCTAAACTCTAAACCGTGGCTTCAGCATAGTGCTGAGTCTTTCCAATACACTGCCCACATAAAGATGCCAAACATTAAGCAAGCCATAGCACCCAATCAAAGGCGCTTGAAAGGCAAATGCGTAGGGGACAGCCCAAAGCCAACATCCAAACTACGTACTATGCATCAACCTGCAAGCCTGGCCCACTGAAATCTGACAGTCCTCAAAGCCCCAAACCCTGAAACTTAATGCCCTAGAAACCCCGAGCTCCAAACCCAAAAAGCTTAAAACCCTACACCCGCCAAGCCTTCAAAACACCAACTCCAATCCCTCGGCCGCCAACTTAGAATAGGGTTATGGGCCGATTGTACTGTAATTAGAATAAGGAATCCCAAGAATAGTATAGGTAATTGGGCCCACTTTACTATAATATTATAACAAGGAGTTCCAACAAAAGTATAGGTAGTTGGGACCACTAGACTATAATTAATTACAATAAGGAATCCCACAAATAGTATAGGCGATTACTAAGGCCCCTATAGTAGAAGCCAGAAAGTTGGAACATCAATATCCTCATGCCTTTAGGGTAAAAAGCATAGGGGATCCTAGCACCAATACTCCTAAACCCATGTTCCAACTTTCTGGGGTTCACTGTATATGAGGACCCTAATATAGTAACCTAAATATAGAATCCTTATTACAAGGTCCCGGCTCAAAATGAGGTACCCCCTAATGTTCGGAAAGTCCCATATTACCCCACAGGCCCAGCTGAAGGCCCCGGCCCATTTCTTCGGAGTTGTCGTGGGAGTCGCTCGGAGGGATCGGCTCGAGCCTTTTATGATGAAGTGGGCTTCGGGAACAAACTCGAGGACGGCGACCTAATCGGACTTAGAATAGGATGTTGGGGTATATATCAGTGTCATTCCGAAAAGTCATTAACAGGAATACGAATAAGCTGCGGTTGATGATACAAACCCTGCATTACCTTCTAATTCAGGACCCTAAACTATGGGAGTAATGGTAGATTCCTTGTTGTGGGTAATGCACGATATATATATATATATATATGGGACTTTCCGAAAATAGGGGACCCTAATATTGTACCCTAAGTAGTAGGATCCTTATTGTAAAGGACCCCCAAAGTAAAGCACCCCCTAATTCTCGGAAACCCCATATCATCAACCGTAGTACTCCTTCCGCCCCGGTGTGAGTACTTAGAGGCGGCCTCAGGTTCACGGACTACGACCACCGCGGCCCTTCACCTACGGCATACCAGCTGATAAAGGGTCTATATGGGAGTTTTCCGAAAACTGGGGACCCTAACTTAGGACCCTAAATAGTAGGATCCTCATTGTAAGGACCCCAAAATAAGGTACCCCTAATTTTCGGAAACTCCCATATGTCGTAGTAGCTAGAACAGGGTGTTTGAGCATAGCATATTTTGTAAGGGCTCGTGTGCTTCAGACATACTGGCATCCCCAGGGCTCGCGTCTTTTCATGCAAGTTGCGGCGAAAGGCCCTTGGAAGCAAGAATGGCCGCCGCGGATGCAGGGCAGGTCCTTGGATTGTCCGGTTGCAGCTTGCCTACTTGGAGGTTCATGGGTAGTTATATGTGGAGTCATAAGTATAAGGTGACCACAATTATAACCCATATTAGGGAACTTTTAACTCCACTTATAGCTACCCATTCCAAGTAGAGGGATCTTGAGGGAAGTCAGGGAGGGCTTCTGAGTCGGCGTCGGCCTACATTGAGCTCTTTTGAAGCCCCTGGCTACTCCTGATACAGGGCCTTAATGATTAGAATAGCGTTGTTTTGGGATGTATTATACTGTACTTTTAACAAGGACAACGAAATAGCATTGGTAATTTTTCCGGCCACAAATCAGTCGGAGCCTCTTGACATGGCAGGACAAGGGGTAAGCCTTGGGGGCACACTAAGTATAGGATAGATATATGGTAGGCACCATAAAGGGATACTATTGAAGCTTATTCCGAGCTCTATAGAAAGACTGTAGTAGTGCACAGGGATATTCCAGCAAGTTTAACGTCTTTCCATGGGCTACGTCTACGGCCGGGACAACCACTCGGCGTCCTAGGCGACAGTAAAGCAATGACGATTGTTTCCTACACCCTGAGCCCTGAATCTCCTGGCCGTAAATCCTAAACCCTCATACCTGCACTCTCAACCCAACACTCGAATCCTAAGCCGTAGCCGCTGTAGTCACTGAAGTCACCATAGGGTTTGCCAAGGTGCTCCTTCAACATGCTTAGGACCGCATCGAAGAGGACTTCCACCTGCTTCGGACTGGAACCGGAACCCATCGGCCCTAAGCAACCTACCCGATAACTGGTGTCCCTTTTATGTTTGTTCCTCTGAACCCTACTTGTCGGGTATCATGGGGAACTCAAGGTTAACCTTTTTGGTTATATAGGGGTTATAAAGGGACTATACTGCCCCAAAAAGGTTAAAGGTTACTTACTCTACTACTAGGAAACTCAAGAATGAAGGTAGGGCCTGATACGCTGAGTTTAGGACTTCGGGTTTAGATCGCAAAGTTTACGGGCGCAGTTTCACTTCTTTCTTACTTTCTCCGGCTGCTCGATAGTCTTCTGAAAGGCCCCTATAATAATCAACCAGACTACTTTAGAGGTGCCACACAGCCTTCCTCTAAGCTTCAAGATGATTAAAAACCTTTATCTAAGATTCCCCTGAATTTAATTTTGGACCCCTGAGCACTTCTAGACCGTATACCCCGAGACCCTGAACCTAAAAGCCCTCAGCCCTAAATGCAGACTCCATTATCTCCAAACGCTGAAACCATCCTCTTCGCTACGCCCAGAATCGCGCAATCGACCGTTACATCCCCCACCGGGCCTTTGTCTCCATCCTCCACACATCGATCGCCTGGTGCGACAGGATAGGGTTCAATGTTGGGAGAAACCCCAAGGGTCCAAAGGACCTTACTAATTGGGTACTCGGGTTTAGGATAGTACAGTAGTTATGTAGGTTAAGATTTTTAGAGTATATGGTTGTTAGGTACTTGGACCCTTGGGGAAAGGGCTTTCGGCTTCAGACCTTCTGCAACAGGATCCACTGAAATACCGATCAACGAACATCAACGACGCTGGTTTGTGCAGTTCGCCAGCCTGACCTGTAGTGGGGTTAACTTCCAGTGTGGCATCCTAAAGCCGAGCTGAAAGCCTTGGCCTACCAAATTGCCCGGAGTCTCAGCAGACAGAATTGGGTTTTGGGGTAGGTTGTGCAAAGTATGACCAAGCAACCCCAAGAAATCATGCATCCGACCCCCCAACCCTCAACTCCTAAACTCCCAAACGATAAAAACCCGAAACCCACTAACCCTAAACCCCGCAACCCCCCAATCCCCTAACCCTACACTCGCTAAACCCTAAAGCCCTAATCCCTCATCCCTAAACCCCCTAACCCTAGATCCCTGAACCCCCTAAAACTCTAAATCCCTAAACCCTCTAAACCCCTAAACCTTAAAGCCGACCCCTGCAGAGGTTGCCTGCCTTGGCGCCGCCTCGTAATCTCTGGGCTCCTTCCAAGAATTCACCGAGCCTCGGGCTGGTCCAGCGGATTCAAACGATAAGATTTCTTTATACAAGCCCTTAACCCCAATAAGGGCTTAGGCCTTAGTTTAATTCTTTTGGGTTTACCTTCACCCTGAATAATCTACCTTTTCAGGGTTCCTTTTTTACGATTTCTTTATGTAAGTCCTGAAAATTTGGGTTCTTCGGAGTTCAGGTAAGGGTTTAGGCCTTAGGGCTGAGGGTTTCGGGCATTGGGGGTTTAAGGGTTTAGGGCTTAAGGGCTTAGGGCTTAGGGAGTTTCGGGTTTAAGGGTTGAGGGTTTACGGGTTTATAATGTTTGGGGGTTAAGGTTGAGGGTTCAGGTTTTAGGAGCAACTGTTTCGGGTCCTTCTATGCTTTTCGCGAGTATCCTATTATGTGTAGGGTCTACCTTCTAAGCGTCCTGAATCCTGCTTTGAAGCTCGGTTTGGGTTGAGGTTCTTTCGGGCTGAAGGCTTGCGGCGTCTGGCTGTTCTGCCTGCAAGATGCAGATTGCAGAGTCGGTTGCGGTTCTGAGTCCTGCCCAGCCTATTCCTTACCGTAGCGTGCATCCTAACTATAAGGTCATACCCTACCCCGGGGACCTAGTTCTCTACATAACAGGCCCTAACCTTAAAACGATGTACCAACAACGGTCTAAGGAATGCCCTTCTGGGTAGGGTCTTAAAGGGCTTATAGACTACAGCTGCCTCGAAACACGGAGCAAACCGCTGTTGACGCTCCAAGATGTGGAGGGAAATCAGGCTCAGTGTCGCGTCCCAGATTTTGGGACGGGCAGCCCATGTAAGGCTCGGGTCCGGGTTCAGGGCTCAGGCTTTCCCGAAGGCTCCATGTACCTTTATATTTATAGTGGATACTTAGGCCTTAAAGGGGTCCCTGGCACTTTAAGGCTTAAGTCTCTACTATATAGGTACAGGGAGCCGTAGGCTTTAGAAACAAAGATCCATGCAGACATCAACGACTTGGCACAATGTCTGACACTGGTGCTCGTACTACTGCAAACTGCAGCTAGACTCATGGATTCTGTAAAATGACAATATAACTATTAACCACGGTATCAAAGGAACTCTCCTTGTCGGCGCTTGGATACAACTACCACATTTGGCTCGTTGCTGATTGGAGACTATATAGTGATTGCTATCATCGTCGAGAATAGCATAACATCTACATCACAATTACCGTCTGCTTCCTCTGTGCCTTCTTGCGGCCCAAGCCTTCTAGAGCCCTTTGAAAGAACCCTTCTAATACACTTATAATAAAGGGACTAAGCACCAGACAATCATATTTGCGCCGCTTCGAACGATTCAGCAAATACTTCGACCGCGGGGGAGTATTTAGCGACTCATTGGCCAACATAATCTGGGGCCTTCGATAATTACCTAAGGGTTCCTTTTAAGGTTCCTGTTGATGTAAAGGGATCTATAAGGATTATTAAAAAGGTTTTAAGGACTTAGAAAACGTGCCTTGAATTACCAATGCTCTTTTGGGGGTTTCGTACTATAAGTATAGGGGGGTTGATATTGTAAGTATAGTGAAGTTGTGCCCCTACAGCAGGCACATCCCTGAATCCCAGTGTAGGGTTCTGGAGAAACCAAAGACGGAAATGTGCATAAGCCTGCAACCCTGCACGGGACAAGCGAGCTGAACACCCGACCCGATCCCTTGATGTGGAGTTCTTCATCAAGCTCCATCTGCTTTGGAATCCCCATAAGAGTATGGTAAAAGCCAGACAGTTGGAACATTAGTATCCTCATGCCCTTAAGGTAAAGGATAAGGGATCCTAGCACTAATCCTCCTAAACTCGTGCTCCACCTTTCTGGCTTCTGCACGTCACTCTTGTGCTAGAGACCTCCCACGTGGAACCCTAATTCAGAGCACCCTCCAATGTTCTTTCAGCAAGCGGCGTAATCTGGCCGTCTCCGTTATCCAGGAATTCGAACAGACTTAGCAAGTCGTGATATTCCAACCTTGCCGGCAAGTTCTGGACTGAAAACTATGCTCGAGCCATTGAAGTTCACTCTTTGGGGGGCATACATAAGTTGAGGGACTTGCACAAACCATGAAAGTTAGCTTGTGCTGAGCGTCTAATTACATCGGATTGTTAACCTTTGGGGTCCCTAAACGCTGAACCGGGCACACCTACAATCCGTAGAAAAGCACAGAAACCAAACAAAAACACAAGCTAAAACTACTGTAGACACTCCACCAAGCGCCAACAATCCTCAACCCTGCTTGCACGCTAGAGCCCGAAACCAATTCAACTGATGCCCCGACCCTAAAGCCTGAGCCCCGAAAACCTGACACTATGTCTGACCCCTCAACCACCGGCTGCCACAAGCACCTACATGAGAAATATCTACACATGCTAGGTTTAGGGAGTGGGCTTTTGTACTACCAGCATGTATGTACGTGGGACCCTATGTTGAGGGTCAAGCGAACCCCTCACCAAAACATGATTGTACCATCTGCGGAATAAAAATTTCTGTACACTTGCAATGAAAGGTAGCCTTATAACTTCTTATATCTTATGTATATGAATAGATGCTACCCCGGTTCATGTACCCGCGCTTTGTGCTTGAGTCGTGTGCGAAACCTCACGTGAGATTGCCATTTACTTATGTAACCACTTAACTGGTCATTGCTTGCATTGTGTTTTACATGTAAGAGAAAGTTCATGTAACCGATATGTATGCACATATTTACAATGTTGGTGGCAGCAATAGACAGACGTTGCATGTGTTGTCGAAAGAAGAGGTCACCGCAGCCTACCCAAAAGGCAGCACTTCGGTTCCAGTATTCGTGCTGGGCCGACCTGAGCTTTGCTCGGAGTACGAGCTGCGCGCTTTTGTATGCTGGTTCACAAGGACGCACTCCTTGAGAATCCGCCAGCAGCGGTCGATGATCTGTGTGCCGGATTTGACCTTGAGGGTCTTCCCCTTAGTACCGGGCAACTTGTGGGTGACGATCCGCACATAGTGGGGGCGTTGCCACTGCCATATCCCATTGACCTTCACTCGCTTTTTGCAGTGAACCACCTTGTCGTGCAGGACCCCAGGAAGCTTGAGCTTGTAGCTCTTGGCAGAGTCTGTGTGCAGGATCACGTTGCGATCCCGCAGCGGCTCGCTGCCCAAGGCTTTCCCACTTAATCTAGATTTTGTGTAGTACATATATACAAACATGTACGGCTTTGTAGAAAACCCGAAACAACCCGATCTGGTCCAATCTCTCACCGAAAACCCAACCCTAAAACCAAGTCCCTAACCCTAAACTCCCATGCCCTGATCCCACCTCTAACACCCTACGATATAGCTCAGCTAAGCCCTAGAGGGTTCCTGACATAGGTAGTTTTGGGGAAAAGTCTATACCCTACAGGTGCATAAACTGACCCAGAGGGTCCTAGGTGCTGTTCCGGGGGATGCTTTCCCAAATCTTAATCATGCTCTATCCTCATTCCTAATGTAGAAACCCTACGTTACATTCCACGATATCAGTATTTCGGACCCCTAAACCCCAAACCCCTGTACTTCCCTCAGAGAAACCCTAGAAGGGACCCTTAAAGGAGGTACTCTGAAACCAGAAACCCTAAACCCTACACCCTAAACCCGACACCCTAAACCCTACACCCTAAGCCCTAAACCCTCAACTTAGGTCCCTTTGCGCGAGCGGCTCCAGCTGACTCATCCAGAACTGAAGCTTCGGGGACTTCACGAGCTTGGAAAACCTGGGACCACCCAGGGACTCCCATATCCCTTAATTTGCTTTAGGGACTTTAGTAAGATCCCTCATATGATTTAGGAAATATCCATTAATTAAGGGATATCGGAGTCTCTGGGCACTCAGGTCTTACTCCGTGGACATTTACCTTAACCTATCAAAACCTACTTTTTTTGAGGGGTCCCCAATTCCGCGCTGCTTTCATAGTACATTAAAAGATCAAACTTCTCAAGCTGTATTAGGGTTTAGGGCTTGTGTCCCCTTCCCCTGATCCTAAACTGCTGACCCTATACTTGGAGGTTCAGGGGTAGTTCTAAGTGGGGTTATAAGTCCCCTAATATGGGTCAAAAGTATAGTTACCCTACTTATAACCTTACTTATAACTACCAATGAACCTCCAAGTAACCTACCCTAAGTAATTGCTGTCGCGACATTCGGGATGAAGGGCTTCTCCTGCCTTCCGACAAGCACACCAATGATAAAAGTCAAGTTTCAGGGCACGGTGTAGGGTTCGGGGTTTAGGGTTTAGGGTTTAGGGTTTAGGTTTAGGGTTCGGGGTTTAGGGTTTAGGGTTTAGGGTTTGGGGTTTAGGGTTTAGGGTTACCCTAAACCCTAAACCCGAAATCTATCCAGAACCAAGCTAGGCTTGCCCGGGAAGTCGGTGTGTTTGGAGTGCCCACAGTAAGGATCCTACTACAAAGCTTCCCTCATGCAGTCTACTACTACTACTACTGATGAGGCTCTGTATCTGCAGGATGGTGTGCATGCAGAATCCTACTACTAAGGGTCTGCATCGAGTTCTCTCCATAGTCTGATTCTGCGGACCGAGTCGCTCCTGCAGGTTGATAGCGCCGTCCCCAGAAGAGTCGATCGTCTTAAAGAGCTTCTTGACTTTCCCTTGCATGAGAGGGTTTACTCAGAAAGTCGTAGCGGCTTTGCGCATGCTTGGGTTGTAGGCGACTCTGGGCATCTGCAGTCTTAGAGTAAACAGAAGCTGTCAGTTGTAGAGCTACAAGTCTTGCTGATTTTCCAAAGGACCCTTGCCCGACACATGGCATCGCATCCACGGAATGCTGCAGCCAGGATGCGATTGTACAGGGCTATGTCCTGAGCTTGGAGCGCGATCCGGACAACAATGGCATCGCCCAAGGAAGAAAATCAATGGAATACCACTACACATGTTGAGGCTTTGTTGAGAAGGGCAACCGAGTGACATCAGTGGAAGAGAACGGTAATACGGTTGATGGTAGAGTCCTGAACATAAGAATGCCGCAAGTCTCACTCACACGGATTTCCCGAAGTATCACCTGTGATATGCGTAGACACTGACGGCATAGGACTCTTTAATCCCCATGCCCACCCAACAGTCGTTTGGTAGCTAAAGGCTAAAGGTATGAACTTCCGTAATAGCCAAACCCTGTAAACCCCAAACTCCACAACCCGTCACCCAACAGCAAAGACTATCTAAACCTTAAGCTCTACCTTAACCCCGAAGAACCTATATTTTTAAGGAGTTTTATAAGAAATCATAATAAGGAACCCTAAAAGGCAGGTTATTCAGCGTCACGCTCTAAACTTCAATTAACTTCATTTTTTCTGGTCGAGGTGCTTTCTCTTTCTGGCGAAAGGCCTTGGCTTTCGGTGGTGGAAGAAGGGAAGATGGGATACTGGGGTGTGGAGTCGATATTCTTACGGGCATGGGATTGAAAGTTCTGGGTTTAGGCTTTAGGGATGACCTTGACCTATCATGTCCCACTGTTGGCAGGATCGCTGTGCAGTCCGTCTAGCGGTGGACGAAGACTCGGCGAAAACAATCTCTTTCACGCTTATAGCTGGTTCAGGCTGGGTTTAGCCTTCAGGGTCGCCAGGGTCGCCAGTCTTGTGCGATTAGACAACGAGGTTTAAATTCAGAATGTCATCGTCAAATTTTGGGCGTTCACTTCGGACGGGACCCGCCCATCTATCAGGTTTGATCCGGGTGTCTTAATTCCCTAAGGGATGGAATTAATTAGGGCCCCAAAGACCATCCCTATTATGGCTTTGGAGACCTAATTCCATAATGGTAGTATATGTGGACCCTCTGGGATTCATTCTAAACCCTACACCGTCAAACGGTGCCTTGTAGAACCCTTGGAGCGCACGGTTTGTACGTCACGTGGGGCTTCTTTAGGGGATAAGGCTTCGCTTAAGGTTAGCATAACGGTTCCTATGAGGGTTTCTGGCTGGGTTCCTATAAGGGTTGCTTCAAGGGTACCAGAAGGGTTACTGTATTGGTTACTTCGACTCGACGGTTTTCACATTCAACCAGGGTTTCTCTAAGGGTTACTTTAAGGTTGAAGTAGGGGTTAGGATTGGGGTGCTTGCTCATAGACTGCAGGGCCTACAACGGAACTAGAGTCCAGAAGACAGCGCACGTGTACACTATGGAGCCACTAAACCCCAGATGGCAGCAAGTCACACTAAGGATCCATCTACTCATAAAGTATATACAGTGGCCTTAAAGTACTCCCTATATAGGTACATTGGACCCAAAGTATATACTGTTAAACACCCTAAACCCTGACGAGATACCAGCTCTTCGTCGGAGCTGGCGGTCTTCATGGTCTGCTGTACCTCGGTAGATTGGTAGGTGTAGGCATGCTATGATCAGGACTCATATTCTATGGCTTTAAATGGGCCCAGACCATACTAGGAGCTGTAGGATTGAGGGTTTAGCTTTGACTCGTTTATCAATCCAAGCCTGGCTAAGACTTTAAGGAGTCTCAGGGCTTTGGCCAAACTTTGGCCCCAAGGACCGTGCTATCTTAGGCGGCCTGATTTCCCCTGGCCTCTACACTCTACACCCCAAAAGCCCGTGATGCACCAAAGCTAAAAATACTTAGCCCCTACAGCTTTAAAACACGTATGTAAGGTCTTATGCCCTGCACTCTATAGTCTTCACAGTCTTAAAGCCTCTGGACGAATAAACCTACACACGTTCTTCCCCAAACTCTGTTAGTTTGGATTGTCAAGATGCAAAAACCGCGTTCACCACGTTGAGTACCGCGAAGCCCAAGACCTGAACTGCGGGGGTGGCATGTCCGCAAATGTCGAAGCGCTGCGGCATCTTGGATGTTGGTGCTTGCTATGCTGGGAGGCCAAAAGGGGGGGTTAAGATTCTTGGGGTAGTTTGGTATGAACCCTATTATGGGAACCCTAACTAATCCCTACTAAACCACACAGGCCTAAACCCCTTTCGGCCTCCTATGATGCTACATACCCTCAAGTATGCTCTGGATTAGCCACTTGCGCTATTGAGCACGGCCCCTAAGTCACAAAGCGCCAGCCAGTAAGCAGGGAAAGGTCCAAGAGACTCCAACATCCGGGAAATGTATGGGCCAATAATCAGAATAGGTTGTTTGGGTCCAGTGTAATGCACAAATCAAAAGGCACGCTACGGAATGTTGTTCGGGAATGGAGATGATGGCAGCTATAGGAATGTTTCAGCAGATTTGTTCATTGCGGTTGAAGTACATAAATCTTGTCCGTCGTTTAGCAGAAGTAGCTGCTCAAGTCCGCTTAACAAACTTGCCAGATGGAACTAGCCCTCATTGACCACGGGTAACATCAAGAGCATTGAGCCGCATAGTCGCCTGCACACCTTGCTAGCCCAGCAGTCAAGACAAATGCACAGCGCTGCCGGAAGGCATCATGCACGAGCGATGTGGGAGTTTCCGAAAACAGCGAGCCCAATCAGCCCAATACAGTACATTAAATCGTAATATCCTTGTTATAAGGACCCCAAAATAAGGCACCCCTAACTTTCGGAAACTCCCGTTTGAACATAACCCCGAATGTAAGCCTATGACGGTCCTAAACCCCTGAATCTAAACCCCTAAACCCTTAAAACCCTGAATTTCACCGGGGGATCCTCAATTCTCCTCGGGCTCGTTGTGACAATCTCGAAACCTACTGGTACTACTAAACCCTAAACCGGAAACCCCAAAAAAGCCGGACGTGAAGAAACATCACCACTAAAGTACAAAGCCCTAAACCCCAAATCCCACCCACCCCTATAAACTATCTTCGCTGTGAAATCCCAATTTCAAAAAACACACACACACACAGACAAATACACACCCTAAACCCTAAACAACTCCTAGCCCAAAGTCTGGGACGGCGACACAGCGGTAGGAGAGAAAGAAGATGGAGAACCTCAGTCAGACAACACTTGGGGGCTTCAGAAAATTAGGGGTGACCTTAGGGTTCCTGTAAAGGGTTACCATAAGGGTACTATAAGGGTTCCTTTAAAGAGATCTGTACAGGGTTTAGGGTTTAGAGTTTCGGAAAATTATACTGTATTAGGGTCCCGTAATTTCGGAAACTCCCATTTGGCTTCAGCCCGCATCCCTACGCGTTGAGAGTTGAGTGAGGGGTTGGGGTCTAGGCTTAGAAGGCTTTATTTTGAGCCCCTTTTCCAGAGAAGGGTTTGGGATTAGTCCGTTGAAGCTTCTGAGCATCTAAGGTTTAGAGTTGCGGGTTCGGGGGTTTAGGTTCTACAGGGGTTGGGTTCATGGTTACGCGTTGTTAGTTCAAGGCCGATAAGTACGTATATGCACATATGTGCATGTACATGTGTGTACGTATCTATACATATTTATACATATAAATATGTATATGATTGCGTATGTATAGTTTTGTATTCGTACATGCATAATGCTCACTTTGATTTCTGTCGTAGTGACTATGGATGCTAAGAGAACAGCAGTTCACAACACACCCTGGCATAGTTTACGGTCTGTGGCTTTGGGCTGTTAGTTGCTGCAATTAAGTTTCAAGCTTAGCATGATCTGTGCAATCGTTCATTTGCCCCAAGTACCTGCATGGGAATGCATTCCCTAGAGGTCCATGCACTCATATTGTATATACCTTGGCCTTCCTGTAGTCCCAATTTAGGTACTATTTAGGACCCAAGTACATACTATTCGTGGACATGGACATGGAGGCATTGCGGCGATGTTACCAATTCGGCGCGGTTAAGTCCCAACCCCGGAAGCGGCAACCTGATCCCTGAAACCCCAACAATACGGCCAGGAAGCCACTCGCTCACGTTCTCAACGAGCACGCGACATGGGGGCCCCCAATTTGCGAACATGATCCTGAAAAAAATTGACTTCGACTTTCCAGGGAAGGGTTCAAACTCAGGCATCAAAAAGGAATAATCAAGTCCGAACGCATGGCTAAAGCCCAAATGCCAAAGAGCTGACACTATTCGAAGTGTCTCGATCCCCATAGGGTTTCCTGGAATGCAATTCCTTCGGGGTGTTCATGAGCTATCATGCAGGCACAGGTACAAGATTGGTATAGGTTCTGACAACAGAATACCAAGCATCTATCATCTTTAAAGACAGTTTCACATGAAAGACGCTCGGAGCGCAAAGCCCCGGAACCTCGAGATATCAAATGCTTTTAGAAGGCAGTCTTTCATCAAGCGGAACCTGACAACAAAAACTCTGAACACCTGTTAGAAGCCATCTGACCACGCTTTCAAAACCGCGGTGTTGCCCACTGATAAATCAGAGGGGAAAAGGAGGGACCCTTAATGGGGACCCCTAGGCATATACCCTTAATATAGCCATTATACACCCATTATATAGCCCATTATAGGGTAGGGGTCACCAGTAAGGGTCCCTCCTTTTCCCCTTTGAATAGAGCACCCAGCCCTTTTCCCGCCCTCTAGCCGCCAGCCCATGCAAGAACGGCTGAAACGGTAATACAGGGGCCTAAATTGGCCTAAATATAGTTACCTACACTATTTTGGGGGTTCCTTATTGTATATATAGTATATTGGGCCCCAAGACCCTATTCTAATTATTAAGGCCCCTATACTGAAACCCCTAAAGTAACCCCTATAGTAACCCTTAGAGACTCCTTTAGAAGCTACCCTTTGAACGAACCCCTTTCCTAATTCTTAAGGCACCTTTTTTAGGGGCCGTCGGAGTGAGTCTTTTGGACACCGAGGAGCTCGAACATCGATAGAATGGTCCGAGTGAAGGTCCCGTAGTACCGGAAGACCTCTCGGAATGCACTGCTGAAGGAAGGGTTTGGGGTTTAGCGTTCAGGGCCTAGGGTGAGGGCTAAAGCAGCTCTTTTCTCTAATTCGTGTTCTTGTTTAAGCTTGTCTTTGTGATCTTGGTACTTTAAGGTGTATGGTTTGGAGGTGTACGGTCTGCTCGGGGGTTTAATAGAGTTCCGAGTGCTGCGCTTTCCAGACAGATGTCGGGGATCGAGATGTGTGCCCATTGTTCGCCACAGTCGATACTGGAAAAGAACATCAACATAAGCCGTTCAAGACTGACCCTCCGCTGGTCCACCCTAAATTCTAAACTAAACCTTACAATTATACACCCTTTCAAAAAAAACATAGAAGCCCTACGCAAGGCCTGTAGAACCTAGATAAACTCGTACATAGGGCAACCTAACCCTGCACCCTCAACTTAACCCTTATGAATCTTATAAGCCCTACAAGCTAAAAGCCCTGGTTCCCAAATCCTAGATACCCCCCAAGCCCTAAATCCTGACCCCGGAACTTGAGCCTAAACCCGAAATGCTCTAAGCCCAAACCCCAAAAAACTCAAAAGCCCTGAGTCCACCCTACACCCCGAGACCTATAAGCCTTCGTCTTTAACCCTAAACCTGGCCGTAGACCGGAAATTCCACAACCCTTCTAACCCCCAAGCCCTACATAACGCCCTAAGCCTAGGGTTCCTGTGGGGGATCTTTAAGGTTTAGGGGATTCTAAATATCCCTTAATGAAGGACTATACCTTACCCTTCAAGCAGCTGGGCCTCGCCACGGACCTCCGGATCGTTCCGCTCCTCCTCGATGAAGTCGCGGCAAAGCGTCGCAAGGACCAACCCGGCCACACACTGCACGAAGGTGAGCAGACCTTAAAGTAGCTGGGGACCCTAAGATAGTAGCCTTTATAGTAGGATCCTTATTATAAGGACCCCAAAAGAGCAGACCTCGGAAAAATACCGTACTTACCCTAAGGGTCCAAGTATCTCCTTAGGAGGGTCCGGAATCTCCTAGTGAGAGCCCTTGGGTCTCGTTGGGGCTTCAGGAATCCTAATGGGCGGTTGTCAATATTAGGGACCCTTTGGGGGGTCCGTCTTATAATACGGCACCTAATATATAAGGTACCCAAGAAGGGACCATAATTGTGACAACCACCCAAATACCGTACTTAAGGCCTCGATAAATCAAGTTTAGGGTAGGGTGTAGGTCTCGGGGTTTAGGGTTCAGGATTGCTATGAGTAGTTTTATAAACAGGGTTCCTTGTTGGGACTGTAGGTCCCGCAGTAGTAGTACGGCGGCCTGGTAAAAACAGGACCGTAGAAGGATCCTAACTGAGAGAATATGGGGCCTTAATAAGTATAGTGTAGTGTTAAAGGTTTAGGGTTTAATTCTGGGCCTCAATCAGTTCAGGGTAGGGTTTGGTGTTCGGGGTTTAAGATTTAGGATGGTCAAGAGCTCCACACTTAAAACACGGTTGATGATATAAATCCTGCATTACCCATAGTAAGGGATAGAACATTCGTCCCGTAGTTTAGGGCCCTTAAGGTAGTGCAGGATTAATATCATCAACCGTAGTATCGTTGCTTGAGCGGCTCTGCAGGGGCACTCACATAATCTTATACATGATATGCTTTAGGGTTTGGGGGTTCGCTATACACCTGGCAAAGGGACCTAACGAATCTCGGGAAGTCCGATATCCTAAAAAAGACTTGGGAGGTTTGGGGGGTCCATAGCAAATCTAAACCACCCGAGAAAAGCCCACTGCCTGAAAACCCTGCCTCTACTCTTAGATGCTATCGGCCATAGGCCTTTGCCATGTGCGAACCCCGCCAAAACTCACCTACAATCCCGAAATCCGAAACCCTAAACCTACCATGCAGCCATGGCACAGAAACTCCACAGCAGCATATCCCTGCTGGCGACCAGGCACTTGATCAAGAGTTGCAACCTTCGGCCCCGATTGAATTGGGAGTTTCCGAAAATCCGGGCCCGTCACATAGTACCCTAAATAGTAGGATCCTTATTATGCGAGCCCCAAAATAAGGTACCCCTAACTTTCGGAAACTCCCAATTCAAGCTTTGAGGCAGTTTTGGGAGTAGGCTTTCGGAGATCGGGGCCCTGAACCCAACCCTTCACCCCTAAACTTAAAACCCTTAAGCCTTAAAACCCTAGAACCCTAGACCCTAAACCCTTAAGCTTAAGCCCTGAACCCTAAAGAACCTACCTTTTTAGGGCTCTTTATTATGATTTCCTTACATAAGTCCTTAAAACGGTAGGTTATTCAGGGTTAAGGTAAGCCCTGAACCGTTCCCCCCGAACCTTCAACCGTAAAGTGAACACTAAACCCTACGATTAAACCTGGAACCCGCATCCGAAAAAGTATATAACACTGCAGTGCTTGGGCTCTTTCAAGGCACCCAACGAAATCTCCTGACTCCTATAAAAGTGCCTGTGGGGAACCTAAACAAAACAACTTTCAAAACGAATCATTGTTTGCAACTCTTCAGTCCCTCAACCCGTAAACCCTTTCAAACCAATGCACAAAACAAACCCCTTCAATCCCTAACCGCACCCACTCAAAAACTCAATAAAACAAACTCCCTGCCGAAGGACGAGTTCAGCACACTTGACATGGTCACCATGCGGAAAGCCCGAACCAGCTTGCCGATCCGGAGGAGGCCTTGTAGGGCTTCAAAAAGCTACCTTAACCCCGAAGAACCTACATTTTTAAGGACTTATATAAAGAAATCACCATGAGGAACCCCAAAAAGGTAGGTTATTCAGGGTTAAGGTAGGGCTTTGGGGCGTGAGGTGCAGGGTTTAGGGCTTTAAAGGCTAGGGCTTGGTTTTTTTTGGGGGTGTAACGTGTGAAGGGCTTACGTTGGGTATAGAGTGCCTTTTTGGAATTGGTGGTTTGGGGTGGTGTGTCTAAGATCCGAGGCTTAGGGCGCAAGGTATGGGGTTGTAGGGTTCAAGGTTTAGGGTTTTATGCGTTCACGGAGGACTCAACAAAACATGAGACGGTGGAATTAAAAGGTTCAGATTTAGGGTTTACAGGGAAGGCTTGCAGGAAGCACTTCAGCTTTGGGCCGTTTCAGGATTTCGGTGTCTCGTTGGGGGCTTTATTTCAACATGAGAAGCACGAGTCGTAGTACAGTCATATAGGTCGTGCATGGAAGCATTTCAGCCGTGGCAGTAGTGGGTGTACCCGTCATCGCAATAGGAGTGGTTTTCGGGTGATAGCGGCAGTGGCAACAGTTGCCACAGAATTGTCTGTAATTTTCGTCATCAGCAGTGATCGTAAACTGGTAAATAGCAGTAGTTTGCATTGCACAGGTTCTGATGCTTGCAGATTCTTGAGTCGTGTAATCGTATTCGACTAAGCTTAAAATACCAATTTCGTCGTATCAGACGTACAGCTGAACAACAAGTACTTTCCAAGTATTAGGATGTTGCTGGTACCGGGTAACACTGGCACAATTAACAAGGGTAAGTACGTTCATGCCATTGGCGATGGTAGTGATGAACATTTACTTGTAACTTGCAATACTGAGAAGGGCTGTTCAAGAAACTGAACTGAATAAACAAGCAAATGCTGAACCCTAATTATGTCAGAAACAATCTTGTTTGGGGCGGGGGGTCCAAAACTATATTCCATTCTATATATATATATATATATACACATACATATATATATATATGTATATCCCACCCGACAAACCATTCCAGTTGTAGTCCCCTTTATGAAACCCTGCTTAGTAATCCTTACAGACCCAATTAAACGGAACCCTACTGTAAAAATTGAGGCCCTTACATGAAACCGAAACCCTTAGGCTCTAAGGACTCATATTTTAAGACTTTTGGGCTCAAAGACCATACTATGTAATGCTTTTGGGCTATCTTGAGCCTGGGGGAAAGCCAAGCAGCGGAAAAGGATGGGACTCACCGGGAGGCCCTGACTGACGTATACGAAGGCCACCTCTGCCTCGGTGTTGCCAGGGGGTTGTCGATGCAGAATGGGGTTTAGGATTCCGGATCAAAGATCTCGCTTTGCTACAAACTCAGTTAATCTAGAAGCTTAGGATGCGTTTCTTGCGTTTGCGTAGAGTGGGGTAGAGTCTAGGAATTGGAGGTTTAGGAGTCTAGATAATGGTGCCCCTCGACATGCCGAGCACCCTTAGCGACTATCCTACTTGTGAAATGCTTTGCCAGGCCAAAAGCAACAGCTCAGGGCTTAGCGTCTGGCCTCGGCCAAGAGTTCGGGGTAGCGGATTTGGTGTTGGTGTCTACCTATAGTCTCCATTGTAGTTCCTTTTTGGGGTTACCCTTTGGGATCCTTAATATAAAATTGGTTAAACCAAAAAAAGAAACTACAATCGAGACTATAGGTATGCCCTATACGCTCCAAAATTTAGGGGTTGGATGTGGGGTTCAAGCTGTACAGTTGGGCGACCGTGATATTGCCAGGTGCCTGAAACAACCCCAACCAAGGCTTCTCAAACCAAGTCAGTTTGAGAATGATCGTCTACCATATCTCAACCATTCCCAATATCATCTGAACCCACACCCAAAGGCTTTAGTGATGGAGTGGCTGGGATTTCGAGCGGGAGGCCCAAGGAAACACATCATAGGGGTTTAGGGTTTAGGGTTTAGGTTTCGCACCGTAGGAGGAAAAATCCAATCCTGCAAACAAGACACCGTAAACTCCGTAAACCTAGAGCCAAGCAGCAATGGATGTCAAACTGACAGCGAAGTCGATGTAGTTCAGCCACCTGAATGAAGAGTCTGCATGGCCCAAGTCTTGGAAAATACGATACAGCGTGAACATATACATATATATATATACACACACACATACATATACATAGGCATTCCAAGGCAAGGCGGTGTTCTTAACGACTTACTCACTGTTCAGACTCCCTAGTACTTGGACAGATCACGGGAGGTTGCAAGCAGAAGTGCAGACCGCTGATAACTTGGGTATGAACTGGGCGGCCTTCCTACCGTGCAATCTGCCCTTCCAAGAAACAACGGAACCCCCTAAACCCTAAACCCTAAACCCTAAACCCTAAGGAGGTTTCGTGGTTAAAAGTGAAGAGTGCTGAGCCCTGAACCCTAAGCTCCGAGCTTCCCGAAGGGTTCTGAGCACTGTTATGGGGGATCCTTCCCCAAATCATCATAAGTTGCGAGTAATTCCGCATCGTCCTAATATAGAAACCCGACATTCTACTGAATGGGTGGGTGTTGGGTATAGGAGTCAGGGTCAGGAAGGAAGAAGTAGGAGGAGTCTTTTGAACCTCGCCGCCTTAGCGACTCTAGCAGAAGTGGAGACATGTGTGCATGGGTAGTTCTCTCGGTCCTTTGTAGGGGCTGCTTAAAACAGGGATCCATAAGGCCTTCTATAAGGTATACTATGATGATGATACTTTGTCTGCCGTGGCGGTGCTCGGCGCTTTAGGCAGCAGTGCCGCATGGGCACCTTCGGAAAGAGGGAAAGGGGAAATGGGAACTGATCTCAGTCCTCAAACACCTCTGCACTCTGCTGTGCTCCTGCAGGGTATCTGTGTTGCAAACAGCTCGTTATCAGAACCTAGACCCCCTTTGGAGGATCCATAACGTAGATCCCTTAATGCGGGTTCCTGTAAAGTACCCTTAGTAGTATAGGGCCCCAAATTCGGAGATCTACTTTCTAGATCCTCTCGAGGGTCTGGGAATGGTTGCCTGGCCATCCCAGGTAAGTCATGCGCACAGCAGGCTCTGGGCGTCGGCGCAGGGCCGGACACGACCACTCAAGACCTTTTGACGACATGCGCTCACCACAGATGCACTGCTGCGGCAAAGTCTCTGCAGTCACAGCAAGGTGAAGATTGCTCACGTAGCTATTAGCAGTGATCCCAAAGGCTCCATGTACCTTTATAGTAGATACTTAAGCCTTAAAGGAGTCCCTATAGAGGTACTTTAAGGCCTAAGTATACAACTACATGGGTACATTCTTCAAAAAACTACGGCACCCTTTTGAAAAAGAGGGAACCTAACTTAGAGAACTATCCATGTCTTGCAAAACGTAAACGCTAAATCCGCTTGTGTTCGACAAGACTTTAGGCGGCACGTATAAGGCTTAATAAAGGATTTCGCAGCCCCCCCCACCCGAAGCAGCCAGGGATCCGGATTTGGTGAACCTGCATAGAACCCTCGCCCCAAGCCCTAAACCCTAGACCTTAAACCTCAAACCCTAAACTCTGAACCCTAAACCCTAAGCCCTAAACCCTGAACCCTAAACCCTAAACCCTGAACCCTAAACCCTTGACCCTACACTTTCTAAACCCTAAACCCTTGACCTGAGCCCGCTGCACTCTCCAGAAGTCCGCCCGAAGAATGATGATCCGCAGCCTGAGATAGGCATAATGTAGGAACCTTAACAATGAGAGCAGGCCTTTGGGAGCTCCTTCTTAGAAGTATAGTATACTATACCCCCCCAAACCCTAGTCTAATTATTGAGGCCCCTGAATTAATCCTAAGGGTCCATGTAGCACGAGTATGAAGGCCTTAAAGTTATGCATATAGAGATTGAAAGGTAGTGGAAGGTATCTACTCCATGGCTCTCTGGTTACTTATAGTAACCTTTCAGGGCATGGTAGGGAGGTTTCGGGTTTGTGGCTTCGGATCTGCATGGAAATTTGGATTTCGGGGGGGCTTGCGGCTCTAATCGACTGGGCTAATCATTATGGGACTGTCTTGCCATCTACGGGTTTCCAGGTTGAAGGGACTTCGAACTTTGAGAGTTTGGGGTTTAGAAATCGGAT